CACACACACCACACACACACACACACACACACACACACACACACACACACACACACACACACACACACACACACACTATATACTCTTATATTTTTCAACATTTTATTGAAAAAACTCCGCAGAATTCTTATGGCAATTGGCTTTCAGCTAATTTTTCTGAAACATTGCTACATGATAGTTCTCAACACGTAGAACAAAAAGATTAATAAGCACAGAATCCAGTAAGTTTTTAAAATAAGGAACGGTAAAATTGAGCTTTCCATACCTGATGCAAGTGCAATAGTGATACCAATGTACGATGCTACTTACACTTAAGGCTTGCTAAGATATGCGTATACATCAGTGTGTGCATGTGTATGTGTCTATGTCTGCGTGTGTGTACAAGACAATGTAGTGCTTATGTAGTGTCGTACCCCGCGTTTTGGCTATATCCGCAGTAGTCCAATCGCATTAATCATGTCCGGCAAATTTACCAGTGCGACAGAATATAGTAAATCCGACCTACGCTCGCGATCGTCGCCAAATGGAATTTACTCACAAAATGATTACGTTCAGAAACTCAACAGTTAGACACCGATTGAGAGATGATCATTTATGATAAAACTCATGAAGTTTTGAGGAATAGTTCTATCAAGTGATGATTTCTCAACCGTTATTCAACTGTTGAATTTCTTGAACATAACCAATAACATAAGAAAGAGATTTTGCATGATCGCCGCAGTGACGCTGGCTAGCTTGTGAATTTGTACAATTTCGGCTGCACTGCCGAAACTAAGGCAAAGCTTTGATTTTTGACCGAAACTGGCCGAAACCAAAACCAAAGTTTCGGTTGGACTCTACTCTTAAGTAATTGACTAGTTCTAAACAAGACCTCATATAAATTCTAGTCCTTCAAATTTCTTATCTATTACTTTGGTTTCGGACATTATTATTGTGCCTTCTATTGAAAAAGCCAAAATGTATGTACTAGTTCGTCCTTGATACTCCTCGGTTTTTAGTGCTATTATAATAGAATCTCGCGAATCTGGGAGAAACTTGAAGCTTGAAAAACCTCTAACCGGATTTAGTTCTCCAACATAAACTACCTGCAATAAATATCATAACTTTGCTATGTGTGTGACTTATCAAAATATTGATATTAATATACAATCTCAAATAGTATAACATATTACTTTTATACTTAAAAAGTCCTCATCTGCTATCAGCATGACATTGCAACTCGTTATCTCATCTGTGGTCTCATTATACCGTTCACGAGAACATCTTCTAGGTAAAAAAAACCAGCTCTTATGGATATCACTCCAAACTCCAGATTCATGTATCATGTAACCTACACAAAGTATATGTATGATAAACTTGTACTTTATATATTTCTAAAATATATGTTTCTATATACCTGGATATTCGATGTTAATCGCTTGCCTTAATCGATTGTAGTAAGACATCCAATTGAAAGACTGTACCTCACCATGTGGAGATACTACTTTTACCCATAATGGATTATTATGTTGAAATTCTCCAGATGGTGTAGTCCATTCTTTTCCCATACTGCCAATATATAAGTGCTCATCTTTGATGGTTGCCCATTCTGACTTGAATCCTACAAGAAAAACTTTAAAATGTAAACACAAGTTTTTTTTCAAGTGTGCACAAACTTGTTACCTATCATACCTTTATTATGTTTACCATTCCCATCCATCAAGATGATCCATGGATATACTTGATTATCCTCAATTAAATATACTGTTCCTGTGCGATCATCAAAAGATAATAAACGACCATCAAATGTCACTAATTCTGACAGTTCCATTCCACGTCCTTTCATAGATAAAGATGAGGTCAATACAACAGTATCCTGCCATATAACAGACATAAACTTAGTTTTACGGTCCCAATAAATACGACCAGTCTTCATGATACTGTGCCACATGTCCTTGTCCGGGAGCTTGGAGCTATGATCAAGATCGCTCACTATTGCTATCTTGTAGATCACACCACCCTTGGAAGTCTTGATAGGTGCTGAGATGGGATAAGTTCTATTGTATGCGTAATAACGACACTCAGCCCTGCTTGGCGACGAGATAATACTGCGTAACAGCAAATACACGAGAAAAAGAATCAACCCGCCGAAGAAGAGAAAGATTAAATTCTGAATACGAAAACTATTGTTCGCCATCCGGTAAACATGAAGTGCACGTGACGTCGGTCGCCAGTCGCGTAGATAAGACATACTAGTTGCTTTGCTACCGTTTCTCATGCGCATTTATGTCAATAGCAAGACGTGTGCAAAAGCTCCACGTCGAAATCAGGTAGGTAGGTAGGTGAAGGTGCAGTTGTGAATGTCAAAATCAGAGCCGGCTCGACAACGACGTTAACAGAAGACACGATCACAGTATATACAAGCTACATTTTGATATTCTCTCATCTCTAATACAAATCTATAGTACAAGTATGTAGTACAAGTATGAACTATAGATTTTCACTTGGTAAATGGCTATGTTCAGCAGAACTCAGCGTTTTGCGCTCACTTCCAGCAGCTTTTGGCTGCATTCGAGGAACGCGCTATCAGCGCTATCTGCGCTCATTCTATACTGTGTTCAATTTGAGAGAAAAAACTGGACAGACAAAAACTCGTCCGTTTCGCGCACCTCCCCTACAAGAAAGTCTCCCCACTCTATAGCCATTGGCTGTCAGCAAGCAACATTATCCCTACTTTACCCGTTTTTCTTCTCCTATGCGCGGTAAAATTTTCTTCTAAAATTGAAGCAGAATATATAGCCCCTTGCACAATGCGAGGGAATAGTGATAGCGATAAGCAATAGACACAGGATTCCAACTCGTCGGAAATTTTATCGCTATTGCTTATTCCGATTTTCTGATCTGCATTGATACATGTGTAGTTTTGTATGTTAGATTCCGCTGTTCCTATCGTTGTTTATGAATATAAACTCTTTAAAACTGGTGTTATATTTCTATCGCTATCGCTATTCCTTCCATTGTGCAAGGAGCTTATTTATTTATATTAGCAGAAAGAAGACTGAGAGCGGCGCCTATGAGAGAATGTGTAATCGCTTTTCCGCTCTGTAAGCCAGCGCAATGTCCATGGGTGGTGCACATTGGAACTACGTAGCATGTCTACGAACGACTTGTCGGTACGTACGTTATGTTCAATCGTGAACATGGTTCTATTCCGTGTTACGTCCACAGCATGCACGCACAGAGTAGAAGGCTGGATTGGCTAATTCTCTTATGTCTCTAGCGTTATGCATTATACCAAAGTCTACTTCATAGTCGATGTTCATAGTCGAATCTTATATTTAAGATTGTCTTAAATGTATCTTTAGATGCTCTATAGCTAACGAGATGGCTTATATACTAAGAGAAATCAAAGCCAATCGTAAATATGAGAACGGACTTTTAAATATGAAACGGATCTTAAGTATCGCGCGACCGACTTTTGTAACCTTCGGTCTTTGCCTACATTGTATTTATAGAAATGTTCTGAATAACTAGTCTCGAGAGATATATCTACTGATTTATAATATTTATAAAATATATGTTGTAAAAACGCGCGCATGTAACATAAATAACACATTTTTGTAAAATATATGTATATTATTAAAAATAAGAAAGAAAAGCGTGTAAAATTCTTGTAGTCTTTCTGGCTGTGTAATTAAAAATTGTAATTTAATTGCATGTATACAACTAATTTAGTTCCATATATGTATATATGTATATATACATATGTTATGCAAGTTTTCCTAAAAAAAAGGTAACATGTGTGATAAGATTTGTTATCTTATATATTTTTACACAGACATGACATTTGTAACAGGGAAAGGTGTTTTTTAAAAAAAGAAATCATAAATTATCTTGGTCGCTTAAAAAACAATTTAACAAAAATGAATAAAAAACAAAAAATAAAGAATTAGAATTGAGCGCGCGTGACAGGAAAAAAGATTTAATTATAAACCCGTCAGTTTTAATTTATAGTCGACCTGGTTTGCTATGATAAATTTTTGTTTATACCGAGACAACTTTTTCTATTTTATCTTAGAATACTGTAAGTGTAAGTTTTTTTTGTTATATATGTGTATAAATGAATTAAAAATTAATGGATCTATCGTTTCACACACACACACAGATAGATCTATTAATTTGCTTTGTACGCTGACGATCATAACGACACCAAACATCCGCCTACATTCGAACTTCAGTACAATTAGGGTCGTATGAACAACTCGGTGGTAAAATGAAACGAAAGGGGCTGTCGGGGATAGATAGCGGGGGAGACGCCGGGGATGAATCGGCGAGGGTGGCAAGACCTATCGTCAGTCGCATGACGCGTTTTCCACCGACAACGTCGACGATATCATATTTGCGAGTCGATCACGTCTAGACAATTTTGATATCTAAAACATTTCCGTGTTCTTTGCGTTGTCACGTGCGCGTTCCTTTCGTACGTGTTCGCTCGGCGTCGGACGCGATCGGTGCCGCCACCACCGCCGCCACGCGCCAATCTGTATTATCGATCGCGCGTATACCGCAGTTCCGCATGGCGCGTTAAGCCAATCGCGAATATATAACTACAGATACAGCTAAAGAAAACGACCTGATTCCCGTTTATGAGTCAGATCGATGTAATATCGAGACTTATATCGAATGCGATTAAACAGATATGTAATACAGTGTTGATTAAGATATCGATATATCGATACATATTTCGAATTCTTCAGCCGCAAGTCTCTCAATTTGAACGTGGTCTCTCTGCGGTTTAATGTTTTAACCACGTGATTATCTCTAATTGATGCTCAGTTTCAACATGTATTATTTCACGCTCGACAATATATCACAGATATCAACAAAGTTATTAAGATGATAGGTATTTGATCATTTTGAAATGAAAGATTTTGACGACAACAACATAGTATCGATACAATGTATGTTTCCGCGCAAATATGAGATCTTTAGCTGTTTGGTTGTAACTGACTGTTTTTTCTCGGGAACAAAACTATGTTTTAACAATGTGTACTTAAAGTTCTGATAACAATAATATAAGTATACATGCGCGTTTTTATTATGAAAGCTAACGTGATGAAGTGTCGATAAGTATAAAAGACAAGAATCTCAAAGAACTTGAAATATTCTCGATCATAAGACTGAACTTTTATTTCATGTTTTGATATATCACGTGGTCGCCGGGAGAATATGTCACGTGATTTCTAGTCGACTGAAATATCGCGTGCTAGAGCCAGTAAGTCTCGAAATAACATCCTTTATATCTTCAAAAGGCTTCAAGACTTTGGACAAATTTTGTATCAAGTACATGTAGTCAAGCTCAGCACAGTGAAGTTTTCTTGTTTCTGCTTTTTAACAATTGCGCGCCTTTTCGAAATGTGCGCCGGCAAATCGTGAGGTTTTGAAGCCGCACTTGAAAATGTGCCTCTTTTCGTTTGCTCACTTTTGGATGTTTATCAACGACGGCCTATGTTTCCAGTCTATATTGTGACAGGTAAGATTTTACATGTTTAATTTTCGACATAATATTAATTTTAAATTGCGGTAGCGCAAAAACTTATTATATATAATGACAAGTCTAAGTTGATTAGTCTAAGTTTTATCAATAACATTAACAAAATAAAGTAATTATCAATAAAATTAATATTAAAATATTAATATTAATACAAAAATAAAAAATAATATCAATATGACAAATACTTTTAAGCACATCTACTTAATACATAGAAAATAAGAGTGCATTTATGAGGATTCTTCCATATTGACTCATATGCATAATAGTACGCCCAGTAACGTTGCATGGCTATTCTTGTTTAACGTGTCTTGTGTTCAAAGTTGTCGTGACGCGCCACACAAGTCTTACAAGGATTACGGCTTAACGTTAGAGAAGAAATTTAATACGTGAAGTTGTAAAAAGATATGTCATTAGAAGAGAGAGAGAAAGAGAGAGAGAGAAAGAGAGTTGAAGTGTCTGTGTATCCTGAATAAAATATTTAATACAAATAGAAAAAAGGAATAAAAAAGTTACAAAAATTAATAAAAATATATAATCTCGAAAAAAAATTTTTTTTAAATAATCTCGCTAAATTGTAACTAATACGAGAAAGTCTACAAAGTTATTAGTCTTTAAAGTTTTAAAACTGCTATAAATATTTTTTGAGATTTTATATAACGTTGATATATCACAGTCTCTCTATTTATATCTAGAAATGCAAAACACATTAAAGACGTGACAAAATATATTAAAATTGTACAGCTTTGGTTTTTTCTGAGCAAACTCTACGTTCTTTATATCTAGAACCAGGGTCAATGACCTTACATTCGTCTCGCTAACAGCCCCTAAGTTTCGCACAACACGGCGCGAGACATCGTCGCAGCGCGATACACGAAGAACTAGATAAGGGGAAAACGGGAGAAAATGCGGGGTTGAGACGAAAGATTCTTAAGAAGCAGTCTACACTTTACTTTCGTATGAAACGTGAGGAGGGTGGCTTAGCATGAGTGTATAAGCATCAAAAGAGGATGAACGATTTTGTATATTTGTGTAAGACTGATTATTGTTAATATATTTTGATTACGTTTTTTACTTAGACTACCATGAGTATTGACTTTGTGTTGTTCAAACTTGACAAAAATGTCAAGATTGATATATAAAACATCAACAAATATTATTTTTGAAGATTGAAACGAGAATAAACATTTGAGAAAACATTTAGAAAATGATTAAAAAAAAAAAAAACAAATTTAGAAAATCATATAATTTAAATTTCAAATAAATAATTATCTGATAATATTAACTGGTAATTAATTTGAAATAATATCTTTTTTTAAAAAACTTAGATTTTAAATTTGATCATCATTAGATCCTTTAAGACGTGTCGTGCAGTCCAGAATTCTTCATATAAAAATGCAAACACTCTTTTTTTCTAAATTATAAAAAACTTACTTAAAAAATAAAAAAATTCACGAAAACAGAAAAAAAACGACAATGAGAGTTTTCGAAAAAGTTTTGTTCAGTATCAATGTATCGATAACGTGTGATTATGTATGTGTTAACGCGATGCGTTCTATGTGCATAGTATTGCGCGTATCATGCGGATAGTCGGACACGTTTTCAGTTCCATCGTGGGTGCATTGCCATGGAAACGCCGCGCGAGCACGCTATGCCACATCGCCACGCGCTGCGCCGCTTTCGAGAGGCCGGCTAGTTTCAAGGGCACTGCTCTAACGCGCCTTAAGGAGTGCAAGGACGATCAATACACTCTTGCACCCTTATTTCGGGTCGGTCCCATCAGGCTATTGGATATTTTTCTGAGTCAAATTACGTTATTATTTCTCAAAGTTGTCTCGAAATGTTTCTTGCAAAGCGCGCTGTAGTTCACCTGTTGTTTTAAACAACGAATTATGAATCTTCTCGCAATTGAAGTATATCTTGCAATAGAATTAATGAAACGATACCGTTTTAAATACTTATTACATCAGCAAAATGTCGAGATTTGAAAACTCTCGCCGTTACGATAATTACAAATGTGTAAAAAAATAATGTCGAGTGATATTCACGCAGTGCTTGTAGAATTGATTGCTTGAAAAGAAGAATTTTAATTACCTAACATCTTTTTTGTATTTTAGAAAGTACGCGGAAGAGGGAGGAATGAGGAGATTTACCCGGTGACCTCGTGCCGCGCACGGTAATGCTGCTGGCTAGTGGTGCCTCCATACCGACCATCGCCGGCGCTGTTGAGGAGGAAGAGTACGCACGCAGCGAGGCAAACAGCGCGCATTACGATGGATACGTTACCGATCACACCGATCTGGCCTCAGAGATCGATATCGACGAGTCCGAATACAGACGGGAGCTGCTTAATGACGTGAGTTACGTCAAAATCGTGATTAACGCATAAGACATATTTTTACGACATTTAAAAAAAAAATATATATATGGTGTTTAACAAAAAAATATAAATATAAATTTGTTTTTTATGCCGCAGAAATGGCGACTGCTTTTCGACAAGGTGTGTACATTTACAATTTTTTTATTTTTATCTCGTTTTTCAGTCAAACTTGTCCTCTAAAACTATAATAATTAGATACCGTTTGTTTGTTTTATCAGTTTGATCCAGAGGGTTTTGGAGAGATACCGCTGGAGGACTTCCTAGCAGCTTTGAGGAGCCCCGAATGGAAGACAGAGATACCGGCAAACAAACGTGACATACTTCTGCTAAGAGCGAAAGAGTCGCGTGTTCAGGCAGTGACATTTCAAGATTTCGTCAATGTGGTAAGTACCGTCTGTATAATTGAAAAACAAAGCTTTAATCGCATGCGTCTGTTTTTTATGTCTCTCTTTATTTCAAAGATTAAAAATGATAACATAATACATTTTGATATAATAAATGTATGTATGTATAAATAATTTATATATACACACAAAAATTTAATTATATTAAATACTAATGTAAGTAAGTACTTTTACGCAGTTTATATATATAAAAATCACACTTATAGTAAATAAATTTTTAATTTAAATTATTTATATTTTATATTCAATTATGCGTTACTTTTTATTTTATTGCAATACTGTTTAAAACGGATTTAATATCGTTGGATGTTTAATTTATGTCGGATAACAAGTTTTCCAGCTGATGTTAACAAATACGGAATATACGGTTCTCTGCAGCACACTTTCTGCTCGACAGTAAAACGCTCGCTCGATATGGAAGAGTGATAAAAAAGTGTTTGTTTTAACGTACAAAGAATTCACTTTTATTTGCATGTATATTCGTATTTTGCTTAAAAACACAAAACATATACAATATGTTAATATTAAATCTTGCAAGTGTTTAAATTTATTATGTTTGAATATAACAGAAACTTTATTTAACTTCCGTCAACTTACTAGAAATCTGCGAAGTCTAATGATGGGGATAAAGTATAATTATACAAAGATAATTTATTTAAACTTCAAAACTCCACTAAGTCGGTATAAAAGTTTTTAAATTTTTAAGAGCTCGTAAGTTTTAAAGTTTAAAGTTTATGATTTGTATATTTTTCTCATCTTATTTTTATCGATAAATGTGTCACTAAGTGCGTTTATTAGCATATAGTTTACGTCATAATATATAATATTTCAGATTTTCAGAAATAAATAAATAAACATATTTACGTAATATACAAAAAACTTCAAATATAATAAAAGCGAGTAGCGACTATTTTGGATCAAACATTGATATAAAATCCTACAGTTTCTCAACTTTATTTAACAATCAAATAACTTTTTTATTATCTTACTATTTTCGACTTGAGATATTTTTCTCAATAGCTATAAAAATAGATCCGGTAGGGCAGAAAACGAATTTTATAAACATGTATGTAGCAGTATTATTAGTTTTCTCTTTCTCTTACATAATACACTATACAATGTATGTATGTATATATATATTTTTTATATACTATTTACATGTATATGTAAATATAGTATATATTTATGCTCGTTTTTTTAACTCTATACTTTCTTTTACGTTTTACGCGCGCTATTTATTTGCCATATGTTCCGCCCAGGAATCAATGAGGAATTTGTAACGCAATATAATCTGCTTAAGAGACCGCGACGGAATTTGAAGCACGTTCAATTTTCATCCGGTTTTTCCGCAAAAGCCGGATCGCGATCATGGAGAATCGGAATGAGGCTGACGAAAAAAAGGTTTACGGTAGTTAAATGGGGTTATTCTTACCCGCGTCGGAATGTTTTATTGTCCGTTTATTTGTCAACCTGAAAAATGTGGGCTACGGCTCAGAATTCACTGATCCTACCGCACGACAATGTGAGCCGAGGTACCGCGGCTAGAAACTGACAGATAAATATCGGCACAATGATAATCTCAGCGTTTAGAAGCATGGCGCGCCGACAGGCGGGCTTTTGTTCGCGCTTAAACAAGCTGACAAATTTTCAGTGGTTTTCTGCTCCGTTCCTTTTCTTCGTTTCTGATCTCGAAGAAGATAAACGAATCTGACGTTGAGAGGCGGAAAATTGCTCGTGCACAAATCGGAGCGATTGCAAATACGAGCTAAGCGACGCATTAAAAGAGTCTTGACCAAACACGAACAAATTCATCCGTGTAATTGTGTCATTGACCACGCTACGTGAAAGACGATTATGTCACTGTCCCTTTAGACGCAGAAATAAGAATCATATCTGGATTTGTGATCTCCATCTATAAATTTGATAAGATTATTGGGACTCTATCGAGTCTCATCCTGCTGTTGCTTTAACGAATAAATGTGGCGTGAGTTTTTTTTTGTAAATTGGTTTAGGGGGAAAGTACGCTTGTGAGCATTAAAACGTAAACGATTTCACAAATGTCTCGTTTTTTTTACTCTCTTTTACTAGTTAGATAATTTTAGTTTTTTTTATTTATTGCATTTTGACATATACTTGAAACAATTGAAATAGATCTGAAAATTTATTTGATTAACGCACGAAACGTAAGTTGATTATAATTTTATTTGCACAATTGACGAATTACAGTGAAAGTTACTTTAAAAGAGGAATATACTTACGCGTTCTCTCCTTTCTATTGTACGCAGGTATCGCAAGATCTAGACACAAGATCCCTTCGTCAAAGACTAATCCGTTTATTCTGTGGTTTACGTGCTTTACTTTATATTGACAAAACTTATTTGAAGATTACCGACTGATCTTCGTTTTGTAAATACTTCAATCTCAAAGAGGAGATTATGTACTACTTGGCAGCGATTTAACATAGAAATATTCTCGAGCAAACATATACATACGCGCTAACATAATTATGTGTGTGTTTGATCAATTAACGTTAGATGAAATTTGTTCTATTAAATTAAATTTGAAAAGTTTAGTTTTTTTAAATTATTTTTTTATTATCTGTTGTTTTTTATAATACTGTTAAATTTTAATATATACATATTAAACATTATTTAAATATATATGTATTTTTATAAATTTAAATATATTTTTTTTTGGAAGATTTGCGCGTCAGCCACTGAAATCTTTGCTTCATTTGTGCCGCGGGATAATATACTCTAATAGGATTACATCTGCAGATGGCTGAAGGCAGCAGCAATTATTCAGAAGCGAGGAATCGCAAATATTCTCGGCACGCTACTATAATTTATGGTTAGCGTTGCCGAATGGCAGTAACTAGAATTTCCTCGCTTGCATTGCACATACTACATTGTGCGACTCGCGTATGCTTATTCTACACAATTACGTGTAAATCAAGTGATCTCATTTATTATTTGCATGGAAAGTTATATAAAAAAACAATTGTCAAAAATAACTGGTATGCAATTATGCACCATGTAGTCAGTGACATGGCATGAAGTAAACAATATATATATATATATATCAGAATTATAAAACGGAGATTCGTGGAAATCGGGACGTAAATTTGTAACATATTAAATATTAATGTGTACAAATATTCAACATCAGTAAAGAAATAAATTTAGGAGACTACATACGGTTCAAATATAAAAAAAAATCTCAAATTTCAACAAAAACAGATTAAAGAACAAAGTAATTTTCACAGTAAGAGATACATATAGTTTGCGCTTAGTGGTTTTTTATTTATTAGTCTCGATCTTCTTTTAATTGTTTCTCATTCTGCGTTATCTTATATAAACGGTGTGCATTTTCTCGATTCTTCTTCGAGTCATGTTCACGGCACAAACAGTTTGCAAAACTTCTTCATTTTTATTAACGATTCGTTCACTCGTTAACTCGGGCGCCGTGTTCAACGCAAGATAAGGTCGAATTATTCTGCGGATATACACTCGCTTATCTCGTTTCTCACCGTCAAGTGCTCGATCATTTGAATTTCAGCTCTCGTACTTTAAATGTACATACACAAGAGATCAACTTCCCGAAAAATAAAAGAGAAACACGATCGATGTAGTAGAAGGATTCGTGTCGAAGCTGCGATTAGCAATTAGTTTGGACGGAGGTGGTCACTCCGTGTTTGCACAGCGCGTAACCGTCAATTAGCAGGCAGAAGAGATGAAGAGAGATGCAAGACAAGGCATGCGGTTAACAAGAAAACAGATTGAAGTTAGCGCAGAGGGACGCGCTCTGTCGGACACTTAGGTGGCCTTTGCCAGAGTTTCGGCAACTCGGTTTGATTCTCTCGTACGATCGCGGTGGTCCTTCGTCTCTTTCTTTTCCTTTTCCGTTTTTTTTCCTTTTCGTGTCTTTCTTCCACCATCCCTTTACTCATCGAGGTAATTTTTTCCTCGCTCTCCGCGCGCCACCGGTTCGCCGCTCTTTTACTCTTCCCGGATATCAATTATGTCCCCGTGGGCCGCACGTTGCGACGGCGGACCCACCGGTGTGTGTCTCTCACCTCCATGAAGAGGGGGCTCCGGTGCTCGCCTCGTTATCCCTCGCCGTGGGCGTCGAAATCCCTGTGTAAGGTCTCTCAGGAGCTACAAAGTGCAATTTAAGAAAATCTCTCCTCTGTCGTCTCTCCGTGACTCGGTCTCGTTACACCCTCTCTCAACCTCGTTTCTCCCTCTTGTTCACGCATTTTAGCAATAAATCGTACAACAGACGGTCTTTTAACACCGCTTGCTTTTGATTTCTCTCTTTCTTTAAGCCGTTTTTTGCTATTAATGCAACATGCAAGTGAAAAATTTGCATTTCTTTGCTCAAATTAAGAGCATGAAAATATTTGCGCGTGACTGAATTGTTTTGTGAAACTTGTTTTTTTTTTTTTAATAGAGAATACATCGTAACTATTTTTAATAGAATATTGAAATAATTTATTATTCATTATTCTGTGCTTAAAAAAAAATATCGCGTTATTTCAAATAGTAAAATTCTTTTCGATTCTCTTTTGTTGCGTTATGGCATTATAATGCGTGGAAACATATTCGCGATACTTTTCAGCGATAGTAGCGCGAAACGCGACTATTCTTTCGCAAACTCGTCTCTTTGTTTCGTCCTTTCGCTATCGTGCAGAAGGATGAGGAATTCCATGCGAGGCGGACCGACCTACGACCCCATTATACACGGACCCCAAAGAAAGAGAGAGAGAGAGAGAGAAAGAGAGAGACGCGTGATTCATAATATTAGATTTGAGTCGGGATCGAATAATGTAAACGCCACGTAGACGGGCGTTATATACATGAGAGTCCTGTTGGAATAAGCACAGGGGCGTCACGTTGGCGGCGAATGCAACGAC